CCCGGGAGCGCGAACACAACAGAGGAGCGGCCCGAGGAGCGGCAAGGAAACGAAAAGGGCGAACCCCCTCCCTCGCCCGCTCCCCCCCTCCTCCGCCGCCCGAAGGTCGTCCTCCCCGACTGCGCCGTCAGCATGCTCATCCACCGCGAGGACGGGCTCGCGCGGCTCTCCTCGCTCGAGGACTTGAGCAAGTCCCTCCTCCACCTCGGGGTCGACAACAGCACGGTGCCTGGTCGGCCGGTCTGTCGCGCCTGCGTGAACGGCGTCTCTTCACAGCGTCCCGCCGTGAGCCAGGTGATGGTGGGGGTGCGGATCGCCGCGCCGAACGTCCGCTACCCCGCCGTGGCTGCCGAACTCACCCTCAAGGTGTCGCAGGACGGGGGCGTGACGTTTGCGTGTCCTGGACGGGTCGTGGACAGGTCGTGGACGTGTCTCGTAGGTAGTCACGCACGACCTGACCGAGATCTTCTTCAAGTGCAAGTTCGACACGAAGCTGAGCAAGCTGATGGACGCCTTTTGCACGCGGCTAGATGCGCAAAGACGCGCCCCCGACTCGAGAAGAGAAGCCCTTGCCCTCTCGCGACGCTGCGGAGACGCGGCGCGGCGTTGTGTTCACACCCCAGCCGTCCACCCCGCAGGCCAGCGGCAGGGCGTGGCGAGGAGTGCGACCATCTTCGTGTTCGACGGCGAGCCGCTCGCGGCCAACATGGCGCCAAAGGACTACGAGATGGAGGACGGGGACATCATCGACGTGGTCACGCCGGGCCACCCCGAGTACGCGCAGCAGCTGGCTCGCCTCACCGCCCTGGGGCTGGGCACAGACGGGCCCCCCGACCAGGCGGGCGCCAGCATCTTCGCGCAGGCCGTCGCGGCGGGCGAGCAGGCGGCGCTCGAGTGGCGGGACCGGCGGGCGGCGGAGGAGGCGCGCGCCGGGTCGGCGTCGGACACGCGGCGGCAGCGGAACCCGCGGTCGAGGCGCGCCGGGTCGTCGTCGCGCTCGAGCCGGTCGAGGTGAGCAGGCTCTGACCCAGAGGGCCGGTTTGGGGGGGTGCCCAGGCCGGAAGCGAGGCGAGCAGCGCGCTTTGCCACGGCCGGGTCGCCACCCGCCTGCCGGGAGCAGTGGCATACGTGCTCGCTGCTGAAGCACGGACTCGCAAATGGACATGAAGCGCTAGAGGTGAGCGTCCGTATTTGCGTAGACGTGTTGTGGCCGCGTCGCAAGTGCCAAGTCGGTCTCGAGGATTGTGCACAAGTAGCCGCCAATTTGGTGACTCTACTCTGTCGTGCTCTCGTGGCTGTCTCATATCTCTGTTGCGTTTGTGTTTATTGTGCTGAATTCCTGCTGTGCACAGAGCACACACTGCACAGTCTCCTCCTGCAAAAAAGACTGCACAGACGACCCAGTACCCAGAGCACACGCGCCGGAGTCGCCTCGCGACTTCACCTTCCTTTCCAAAGCCTTTTTTCGAATTCGACGTTTCGATAATGGTTGTGTACGTTGAAAATGAAGACCTATAGGAGTTCAACAAGCCCGCACCGCCCGCTCGCCGGGACGCCGCCGCCGTCCTCACCGCCTGGACGCAGACGCCCCCCGCCGCGACGCCGCGCCCACTCTACGGCTTCAATCTAAAATGTGTTTCTCGCCTCGCCCGGGCCCCGGGCCGCGTGGAGCGTGGTGTCCAGGTGACGGACTGCGCGGGGTGAATCGTACCTGCGCAAAGTTGCTGCCCCCACGCTCGTCGTCGCACTACACTCAGCCTGGTTGAGCGTCCGGTTCGGAGGAGAAACCCGCCTCCGATCCGTTGCCGGAGGCCACGGCAGGCACCGCGTCAAATCTCGAGAAGGCGAACGCCGTCGCATGCGGTGCGCCCACCTCGTAATTCTCCGCCTCACCGTCGATGGCGCCCTCCGCCATCGCGCTGGTGGTGAAGCGGCCCGTCGCAGGATACACGTCGATTTTCCCCAGCCGCGGCTCGACAGAGGAGGAGAAGGACTGGCCGACCAAGCCGTGAGGCAAGAGGCGCATTGCCGAGTCTCCGTGCGCGCGGAAGCCGCATGTGAGTCGGTGCTCTGGACCGGCGATGCGGTCATATACGCGGTTCCCGCGAACCTACGATTCAGACCTTGGACCCTCACCACGCCTCACACACATGCGGGTTTCTCCCTCCAGCTGGCGCTGGGCAAACCTTGACGCTCCAATCCGTGACGGAGAAGGTGGCGGACGAGTAGTGGACGTGCACGGCCATCTCCTCGCACTTCTTGGCGGCGCCCGTACCCAGGAAGAATAAACCTCGGCCGCAGGTGCCGTTCATCATATTTTCCCCCGTATTGTACTGGTTCAGCTCAGAGGCCCAGAAAGAGGCGAGGAACGGCTTCCTCTTGGGCCCGCCAAGAAGAGCGACAACGTGAATCTCGGTTATGAACGAGCCGTTGACCACCAGCGTGCCACCGAGGTTGTACAGATTCTTCAGCAAGAACGTTGAATTCTCCGTCTTTACGTTGACCGCAAAGCCCGGTGCCGAAAAGAAGCTGTAAAATGTATTATGGCGGCCGCGGAAGTCGGCGAGACCGCCGTGGGCGAAGTGGAGATGTCGAGTCGGGCCGTGTCCCTTCAAAGCACCGTTCGCGGAGTCGACGAGGCGGTGGTCAGGAATGGCGACCTCTCGAAGTTGATTTGAGTTAACGAGTATCCTTTGGCCGCGCGCAGGGGCTCTTCCGTCCGGTCGCGAACGCACCTTTAGTTTACCATTTTCTTCTTTTTCACCGATGCACGCAAATTGGAAAACGCCTCAATCAGATGGGCGACGCAAAGGAAGAAAGAAAGAAAATACAACCCCTTTCCTTCTTTTTCACCGAGTGCACTGCCAAATTGGAAAACACACCCTCAATCAGATGGGCAACGCACCAGAAAGAAAGAAAACAGACAGCCCAAGGGAGGGATGGGAGGACGGCACGCCGCCACCACACAGGGATTTTAAGGAGAGGGGTGTGATGCGCTAGCCGTCGCCCACCCTAGGGAGTCTGCCTCTTCCTATCTCTTTTCGCAGTCTCTCGCCGCTTCTCGCTGCAACCTTCATGCCACCTCGCGGTCGTCCCACTCTCGTCGTTCTCTCCCTTGTCACTTCCTCCTCTGTCGCGTCATTCTCTTCTGCCTCGTCCTGCGGCGCCGCCGCCTGCCGGTCCCTTGTTCTCGCGGCTTCTTGCGCCTTTCGGCGCAGCTCCGTCCTCCTTGCTGCGTATCCTGGCCCCTCGAGTCTATCGAGCTCTCCTCGCGCAAGGACGAGTCTTCTGATGCCCACTGCGATCATTTGCCACCCAGTCATGTCGTTGCTCAGGTCCACTCTCTCTTCGAACACTTGTACCTCTACGGATGATGCCGGCGCTGGAGTCCCCTTCGGATGCATCGTGACGGCTGACAACGGGATTTCCACTGGTTCGTCCTCCTCGGAGCACTTGGAGTCATCTTCTCCGGCTTCCTTCCGCTCGGCTCTACGTTTGGTACGTTCGGTGTGGCTCACCCTCCATGCCGTGAACAGGCGCTTTATCCACCCTATATTCTTCTCTCGTTCCTCTGCCCGTGCCTTGGTCTTGTCGTTGTTTCGCACCCATGTCTGTATGGCAATCGAGGCTGCCTTCCCCACTACCTGTAGTTCACTCGTCACCTCTCCCGCGAGCTCCCTTCTCTTTCTTTCGGGTATGGAGTCCGTGAGTGCGGGTAGCGTGCAGGCAATCACGGGCGCTATTTTGTCGTACTCCTCTTCGGCGAGCGCTCCAAATCTAGACCCTATTGCCTTTAAGGAGGCTGCCCTCGCGCGTCTCAGGAATGTGGCGGTGTCTTTTGAGTCCGGCGCTTCCCGTTCGACTCTTGCTGTCGCCCTCGCCGCGTGTTTGTCCAGCTTCCGCATGAAGTGACGCGCTTCTTCCTTATTTCCAGCGCAGCTGCCGCTCAGTATGTGCGCCAACGACGCCTGTGGTGGCTCACTGTCTTCTTGTTTCCAGTCATCCCAGTCTCGCAGTTCTCCGATTCTCCTCCTTGCCTCGCGCTCCTCTTTTGCGGCCTCATCCCTAGCCGCTTTGCACGCTCTGCATCCCCAGAACGCACTTCTCGTGGCGGGGCCCCGGATTCCCCGTTTCTTTTCTCCCTCTAGAATACGCCTGTGGTGTGCCCCGTGTGGCACCCCGACCTGTTGTCTCACCCTGGCCCCCAAGATCGTTTTGGTCGTCACATTGTGATCCCCGACGTCGTCGAATGTCGCCCGCCTGTCCTTCCCCCCGTTCTCGTCACGTCTGGTAATCTCATCCTATTGTCCCATCGGTGCTTGAGGCTGGCTACAGCCACTTCGCTCCACAACCGTCCCGCCACCCCTGCCGTGTGCGACCCCGGCCTCACCGTCTTTCGATATTGCTCGCACACCCACTCGTGCGCGCTCTTACACATGTGTCCGTACGTCCGTCGGTCCGCTATCTCCCTCTTCTCTGTGTTCCCTGCCGCGTCCCTTCGCACCGTGTACATGCATGGCCGCGTCCGCACCGCGTCCCGCACCACTTTCGAGGCATCCTCCGTGTCGTTATCTCCGAGGTGTGCTGTCGCTACCGCGTCGGCGTATGCGTTGCAGGCTATTCCCACGTGTGCTGGCACCCACACGAAGACCACCGCCTCTAGCTTCGATCTATAGTAAGCAATCGCCTCCAGGAGCCCGCCTCTCTCCCAGTCCCTCAGGCCTTCTGGCATCCCTTTGCGGTGCGCGTTCTCAATTTGCTGCAGCGCGGGTTTGCAGTCGCATAGCACCAAGCACCGCCGCGATTGCGCATCGCTCGCACTCGCCATTTTGCGTAAGTATGCGAGTATCGCGTACATCTCCGCGTCTATCGGCTCCCACATGTTCGGCAGCTTTCCTCCCCACATTCCCGCCCCAAACGCTGATCAGTGTCCGTATCTCCCCTTCTTCACAGGGTCCGATTCCGTTGGGATCCTTTACCTGTGCGTCTCCCGGGACGCGCTTTCCGAATCGTGTCGGTCCTTCGAACACGCCGTACGCCACCCTAGGGTTCGGCACGTACTTCCCATCCTCCGCCATTTTGTCTTCATGGTCCTTTCCTCCGTCCGTCGCCGCAAAGTGTGTCAAAAAGAAAGAAAGAAAGAAAACAGACAACCCAAGGGAGGGATGGGAGGACGGCACGCCGCCACCACACAGGGATTTTAAGGAGAGGTGTGTGGTGCGCTATCCAAAGTGTGTCAACCGGATGAAAGTACTGGGTTTTTTAATTTTTTTGAGCTTAGCCTTCGAAATTTTTTTTGCACTAATGGAGATGAGTCTGAGTCCGACAGGCTGGGCAGTCTGGCTGCTCCTCGCGTTCGCGGCATCGGCCCAGGCTCTGGTTCACCCGGCCCAGGCTCTGGTGCACCCCGTACGGCGAGGCACACTGCGCCACCAGCCGGCTATGGCAGCAGAGGAGGAGAACGAGGAGAGCAAGGAGATACTCGGCGCCGCAGCTCTGGGAGCCATATCTGCAATCGCAGTCACGGATGAAGTCGGCATGGGCATAATTACCGCCGCAGCCTTCGCCTACGGCGCCACGATGGCAAACGGCGCGGGCAAAGCTGCACGTGTCGGCGGCCGGGCCGTGTTCAAGGCATACGAGACCGGCATTGACATAAACGTGCAGCGCTTCACCTCACAACTACTTCCCCTCGACCCCAAATCAGCGCCCACGCACCCGCGGTGGCCTGCCCGCAGGAGAAGTACGAGGTGATGGAGAAGACGAAAGGCGCGGTCGACAACCTCCTCGGAGGCCTGCCGGAGCTCTCTCCCAAGGCGGCGCTCTCGCCCGCAGTCCGCCACCTGACTCCGCCGCCTCATCCCGTGCCCAGCAATCGCTCTGACCGAACAGGCGGCGGCAAAGCGCAAGGCCGTCGCGCAGAAGCAGGTTGCGGAGGCGGCGGCCGCCGCCTCCGCCGCCGAGATGGCGCAGGCAGAGATGAGAGCAAAGGCGGAGGCGGCGGTGCAGCAGGCGATGGAGAAGCGCAGGATCGAGGCAGAGGCGGAGGCGTGTGTGCACTGCGCGGCCCCTCCCTCCCGAGCAGCGACCCGCCTCTGCGAACCGTCCTCGGCACACCCCTACAGGCACGGGCCGCGGCCGAGCGTGTCGCCGTCCTCGAGGCGCAAGCGGCAGCGGCGCGCCAGGCCGCGCTCGAGGCGGCGAAGGCGGCGGAGGAGATGATGGCCGCAGCCGCGGCGCAGAGCAAGGAGGCGGCGCAGGCCCGCCAGGCGGCGGAGACCATGGTGAAGCAAGCTTAGCGACACCGTGTGTTCTTTCCATGTGAGTTACCATATTAGAAGTGTAGCTCTCTCTGCCGGTATCTTATTGTTTGTCGCGGGGAGCCGGGGACGTGTGTTTGAGTGTTTGAGCATGGCATGGGGGTGGAGCGGAGGCCGCGGCAGAACGCTCGTACATGTGTGAGTCTTCGAACGACAAGGTAATATCCTCTCTAAGTGCCTCCAATGTGGTCGTCTCCTCCCCGCCTGCAACCGCCCCTCCCCCCGCCTCGCTTCAACGATTGTCACCGTCAGCGGGTCCTGAGTTTTTGCTGGGCGGAGGTTCGCTGATGAGGAAAGTCATTTCCACCGCCGCTTGAACACCTCGAAGATCCGCGTGAACACCTCGAAGATCTACCGGCGCCCGCTTGAACACCTCGAAGATCCGCGTCGATCATGGCGCTGGAGCCATCATGGACGCTCGTGGACTCGGCGGGCGTCGTCCACGTGGTCGCGGGCAGGTCCGCGCTGTCGCAGATGTTCGGCAAGAACACCAAACCGACCTACAACAACATGCTCGAGCTGGTCGGCGAGGGTTCGCGAGGCGTCGTTGGCTACCTTTGCAAGGACGGCTGGCGGATGCTGCGCGAGCTACCGTGGCTGCAGCACAAGGAGAGCAAGCGGATCGTGCCCGTCGTCGGCTCGGCCGCCCAGTTCCTTCAACGTGCAGCAGCCGATGCCGACATGGCGGGCTTCATCTTGAACGGCAAGGCTAGCCAACCCTTCACTCGACTGATCGCACGGCCCGGCGCCAGCGGCATGCGATGGACCGGCGCCGGCTGACCGACTGCACTTCGCGCCGCCGGCGGCTCTCCTGCTCGAGCACGGCGCCAACGTCAACTCGGTGCAGCACTCGACTCTGGGGCCTCTCGTGCCTCTCGTGCCCTTCCAGGTGCGTGCCCGCCGCCCGCCGCCCGCCCACGTGCGCGCACGCGCGCGCTCGTCCTGTGTCGCCTCGCCCCTCCTCGCTCCCCTCTGCCCCACGCCACGCTCCCCCCCCCTACTGTCCGGCAGGTGCCGCAGCCGGCGGGCGTTGCCGGCGTGCTCGGCGGCGCGCCCGCGCCCTTTGCCCCGCCGCCCCAGGTATCCCCCTCCCCGCCGCACCGCCCCCTTCCTCTCCTCGCGCGCACGCGCGCACGCACGACACAAGCCGCGCGCCTAGCCCATTGGCTGCGTCGTCCAATCGCCGTTTCTAGTGTATGCCGCTAAACCCTCCGAATCTATCCAAGTCTAAGCTGTCCCCCAAATGTGCTCCCTCCTTGCTCTATGTTTTTTTTTCGCCTGTCTCATGCGATTCTGTGAGTGCCTACCTTTATCACTCAATCCTTTCGTTAATAATAATCTT